TCTATTATTTTAACGATTTTACTGAACTACTGCCATATCTAAATACTCTAAAGCTATGATAATGACTAACTTTTAATATAATGTCGTCTGGTAGATTATGTCCGTACATTAGACACGTACAACAACGTGTTTGTTTATTACTCCTTCACGTCACAACGGCTGAAGGAATCGGAATGAAATTTGTAACTTGGGGTAGGTTATGGTCTGGACTACCACGTAGGCTTCTTATCCCACGGGAACGCGGGCGAAGGCGATGGAAGAAGTCAATGTTTAATGTCTCTTTATAATTCTTTTAGGTATTGGAACAAAAACCACGACGCAGGTGCCATCTGCGAGACACGTTTACTACAAGATGATGGAAGAACAAAACGAAGGATATTTGGTTATCTTCCTACAACAAATATTAAGGATTACTTCTCTGAAGGATGAGAAACTTGTCAAAAATGTGTTGGAGGAAGTAGAACTACATGTGGGGACGTTAGTGTTTCATGATCATCACTATCGTCATACATACATACATAACCTCACGCCTGTTTGCCATGGCGGTAGGCAGTGACTATGAAACGCCAATTGCTACGATTCTTCTATATACCTCTTTCGCTTCATCAACAGCCTTCAGTCTTTTCATGCATGCTCGTCGGTTAAGGGCACTTTTATTTTGGCCCTTCTATAATATATCGCCAATCTGCTTGATATTTTTCTCCATCCAGTACGCCCTCTGTCGACGGTCTCAATCATATCCGCTCTGTATACTTCTTTCGTTACTGTACTTTCATCCCTCGTTTCTACATGTCCAAACCATCGTGACATTTCCTTTTCAATCCTTGTCACATTATCATCTTTTAATCCACACCTTTCTCTGATAGCACTATGTGTCACTTCATCACTCAATTTTTCCTAATACATACATCTCGTCATGATTATCACTAACACAATGTCCCATTTATATTATCCTTACTAATATTATAAATCGGAAAGTGAGTTTGTTTGTTTGTTCCACTTTCACGCCGTAACTACTGAACCGATTACTTTGAATTTTTGCAGATGTGAAGTTAGAAGTCTGGATTAAATAATAGGGTACTTTTTATCCCGGAAAAATTTGATATTCTCGAGGGAAAACGAAATTATTGGTATAGATGGCGTTGTGTGTATTGGTATATGTCACATAGGCTACTTTTTATCCTTTTGTGACGCGAGCGAAGCCGCGGGTAAAAGCTAGTTAGTATATAAATGTGGTATTTTACAGTTGGTTTGAACATGAGTGGTTCGGCGATCCCCTGACTAACGTCATCACTGATATTTCCCGGTTCGTCAGCGAAGGAGAGATTGATATAGTGAGAAGTAAGTATGGCAGTTTCATTGTAAATATTGTGTACATTTATAGTGGATTTTTGATGTAATAGTCCTTTTTTTGAAGAGGAAAATCATCCAACGACTTCTCCCCGCCTTCGGTGAGACGAGAGGGAGTGTCAAGACTCTTTCGAGCCGCTTGTCCGCAGCTGTAAATGCTAGGACCAGAGCAGCGTTATCCCTAGGGCTATATTTCATCGAGCACCATATTGGCGCAACAGTCACCGCTACCAACAAAATGTATACAGCTCTATAGAAAGTTAGACACATGATGTGACCAGCTCAGGCGGGAGCATTAGAGTCTGTTACTGTCGCAGTGTGGTGTGGCGACTCTAGTGTCTGTATGCTGTCTAGATTGGTAGTTTACAGACAAAACGATGGTGCGACTGATTGCGCTGCCATGGTGTCCTGGAGAGTGAAATATAGCGCTAAAGCAAACTAGGCAAGTGTCTAGGGGCGCCGCGAGACGCGCGTGCCCAACTGCCCATAGAGTGGCGGCGGCGAAATAAATTAGGGACGTCAATGAGGTGCTTGCTTAGGGCGCTCTCTAGGTTAAATTGACCTCTGAATCACCTTCAGAATTATAATCTTCCCAGGCTACTCATCAATGATGTACCACATGCTGCAAGTCAGGAAGACTGCTGTATCAGTAGACGTGAACTCCATCATAGACTATGCTGATCTGCTGTACAATGAAGACGAGGGAGGTGAACTCTTTGATGCTGTAACAGAATATGAAACATATCCTAAAGGTAAGTTTGACATGGCGTCTCGTAACGTAGCATAATAATATGAAACGTATTGTCTTTGTTCACCATCGTCCACCCCGAACGTATTGTCTGCCACCGACTGTGAGTACGCTCACTGTCGACATCGTACTACGTAACAGAGTAAAGTCGGTATGGTGTGAATAATGGAAAAGTGATAAACTATAACGCGCGCTCATTGTCAGCGGCCGACAATACGTTTGGTATGAACTATGCCTTAAAAGGTTTTATTCAGCTTGTCCCGTTTGTTTGTTTGGGTCTTTAATAATTGGATTTTTACCCCCTTCCTGACGAACTATCGATCAGATATTTTGATCATATACACATTCTTCATCTTGATGGAGATACAATATAATCTAATTATTTTCACAACTACCTCCATTATTGATATCAATCGAAAGGACTTGATTGGTAGAATGGAGGTCATTGAACCCGTTTGACATATTTTTTGGTATTACTCTATGGTCAACTTAGTATACTAATAATTAATAAATTTCAGGTTCAAAGAATGCAAAAGAGGTGTGTGTATGTATACTCGACAGTTTCATAAGACCATACAGAAGACTCAGTCGTTCAGAACGCAGACAAACGCTTGTCGACTCTATCAACTACGCCTTAAAGATTAGATTCCCTTTACGGACTAAAATTCTTGGTGAACTTCTAAATATTGAACGTAAGTTCAGATAAATTAATTACTTTGCCTTTTAATATAACTTCTCACAAGTATCGATATGTTTAAGTATGGACATTTTCACAACACTTGAAATCTTACTTAGTTTTAACTTCCAAAATATTTCCTTTTGTTATTGGTAGATGTTCCACCCAATCAAACGCAGCGTTCCACTCCAAGTATTCTTGTGCAAACCTCTAATGAGTAGAATTCTTTGCCACAGTCTGTATTTCTTTGGTTGTCTTCAAGCCCTGAGTGAATAGATTGCGTGGTAGGCATGTCCCATCATCGCGTATCATCAGGTGAAATAGTGGCCACACGCCATCATTATAATCAAAACACACATATTGTAAACTTCTTATAATCCACAGCACAAACAACTACAAAGAAACCAAAATCACAATATATCAAAGAATTACACAAACGCAACAAATATAAAAGAAAAAGAAAGAATAAGAAGAAAAAAGAAGTTGATGACATCATAAAACATTTCTCTTCTCGACTCGATAATATTGAATCACTGAAAAGAACGTCAAAGTATGTTGGAGATATAACACCAGTCATTAACAATTATGTGTTAGAAGCAAACAAAAGAAATGGATACAAAATCAAATATAATAATGAAGATAAAAAAACGACTAGAAATTACAAAAATCTAATATTTGCTTCATCTTATGGAAATCAGAAAGAAAGTGCAATTGATCTAGATAGGAATACAAACAAAGACGCAGATTTCAATGATTTCGATGTCAGTAAGGATGAAACAGCAGGATCAGATACATTTACTTTCTATCCAATAGTAAGGAAATCAAAAAAGTACTTAAAAAAACTGAAGAAAAAAGTAAATTTGAATTAAAAGAACCACCGGTTGAAGATGATGATGATATATCGACAAATGAAATTGAGGCTATTAAGGAAAAATTACACAATATGATTGTCAAAGCACAAGCCGATGTAGACTACGACAAGATGGAAGCTTTAAAATCTTATGCTTATATTTTAAATGAAGAAAATGACCAACGTACGGCCAGTAGGCACTCAGGTATTTAACCATTTTACATTAAAAAAAAGTATTTATGTTCTCAGTTCGATCTGTATGTAGGTTTGTGAGCGATTATTTCTCGATTGTCAGAACCAATTTTGATGCGGGTTTCAGAAAAGTGTTTGCTACACTAAGGAGAATGTATTAGTATATTAACCAACCGACTTGATAACAAGATCGGGTTGAAATCAGTTTTTTGCACGTAGTTTATAGATGAACTAGCTTCTGCCCGCGACTTCGTACGCGTACCATCCCATTTTTTCCCGTCCCCGTTCGTGATTTTCGGTAAAAAGTAAAAAAAAAATGTTGGTTAAAAAGTATCCTATGTCGGTCTCCTGGCTCTAAGCTACTTTTCTACCAATTTTCAGCCAAATCTATTCTGCCGTTCTTGAGTTATAAGTGGTGTAACTAACACGACTTTCTTTTATATATATAGATTATTGAAATTTCGGCAGTGTAAAAAATATCATGGCTGTTGGATATGACATAATATTGGACAATATTACTAAACAATGTTTTTTATGTTTTCGCAGACTCAGACGTATCCCTACCAAGTGACACCTATAGTTAAATGGATGATTTGAGAAGACGGTGACAATTCCTGCTAGAAGCTCTGTGTCCTACTAACATTATAAATGCGAAAGTTTGTGAGCATCAATGGATGTGTGCTGCGAATGAAAATTTAGCACTTAGATTATCTACACAGAAGCCGTTGAGAAAAGATAATTTCAAGTTGTGTATAACACTATTAAATAAAACCAATAATAAGAATACACACATTTTATTACAAAATACCTACTTAATGATAACTAAAATTAGTCTAATATAGAACAACATTTTTTTTTGGAATAAGCCGCCCATAGACGGCCTGGATGGAGTCTTCAGTGTTGGTCTAAGGAGATGCGTTGGGTTGCCGGCCTTTTGAGAGATAGTGATTCGAGGATTGTGGAGGTTGAGTAGGGGAGTAATCGGGACTCGGGCTCCGGTAATCTCACTCTCGTGGTTATACGCAACGTAACTATTGTTTCACGCCACTTTTCTGGTCACCTTATCCATTGTTATCGTAAGTTTTAATAATTTAATTGCGAATCGCCTTAACTCTTTCAGTCTTTCTTGCAGCTGCTATTTGCTTAATTCCATCCCTTATATGATTATATAAATTTAATACGTTTTATTTCTCTGATTGTTCTCTGTGCCTCAAATGTGTTCGAAATCGTACTGTCTCATGGAGGAAAGGGAATCTAGTATTCGCTTGATTCGTAGCTACCTCTATATTTAGTTTAGTTGTGAACTCCTTGGTGGGTCTACTGATTAGGTTTACTATATAACTACGTGTAGACCTGTGCCTTAACATGTGTCGATGTGTCGGAGTAACAATTTTGTACCGTCTCTGTATACTTGTGATCGGCTTCATATTTCTTAACAAAGGATACTTGTATTGGTTTTCAGGTGTATAACTTAATCTACGTCTAAAAATGTTTCCATTGCTGTAATCTGGCCGGAACTTTGTGTGTTTTCGTTTATTTGTCTGATGTTTTGGTTTCGACTTCAGCTTTTGTAGTTTGTGTCTAAATTTCTTTTGTTTTTTCCTTGAGAATTGGACTGTAGTGTCGTTGCCTGATGCTACTAGCGGCCTTAGTTTTCTTGCTGTGGAAAAGAAGACGAGTCAATTTTTTTGCACAACAAAGCCTACGAATGTCCTGATAGTAAGCGGACACCGTAGTCTAAGTACACCTGCAACACTAGAGGTACCACGAGTGTGTTGCCGACAATAAAGCGAGTTACATGGGAATCTGCACAATTCGCCGCATGATCAAGGTCGTCTATGGCCCAAAGATCGGTTTTGGGATGCTTGAGGAGACTTTCGCCACTATTCGGATAGAATTATCGACCGTTCAGAATTTAAAAAATCGAACGAACCCAATATTACTTTGACCGACATAAATGTAATCAATATCAATAAGTTAACAACTAATTATGTCTGTTAGATACATAATATACGCACCTTCTTTTATACCAAAAAATCCAATCAAAGCACTTCGAGCTCTTAGCTCTAAGTTAATAGAGTCTAACAATCGTTGGCGCAGCTTTGTATTACTGAGCCGACGATATGGCTTTAGGAAGCTTTCTATTAATGCTAAACATATTGAGTACCCTGGTTTTAAAACTGAAATAATAAAAAAATACAAATTCAGAATAACAGGTACACCCACTATAAGAAGTTCGAGAACCAACTAATAGATGGCGCCATGTACAAATCTACATCGCACAAATACATACTGTTAGGATAGTCATCAAAATCTTTGAGCACATTGAAGAGCTTCGTCCCTTCTTCATCATCATACAACATATCAGCATAGTCTATGATGGTGTTGACTTCAGAAGATAGCTCTTGGTGACGTGCACTTATCTTTCTATTCAATTTCGAAGCGTATTCTGTAAGAACATAATTAGAATCAGCGTAGTTTACATGTAAACATTAGCTCATGACGATATATAAGTACGTGTGTCGTTGACAAGTCAACCTCGCTACCATCAATTGACTGGACAATACACTACATGAGCTGATTAGATCTGAATTACTTACTTTGTATCACTCCCGTTTCAGATTCAGTCATGAATTTTGCCAGTTTCATTGTGATGCCTAAGAGAGGCTGACCGAACCAATTAATTTTTCCATTTTCATGAAGTCTGAAACACAAACGAATAAGGTTCAAATTATCAACTTTCAACTTGCATGTCAGGTGGTATTATGTGCCACTCACTGCAGCACGATCTGTTCGGTATGAACGAGGACTTCAAATAGATCATCCTTGTCTTTAGACGCCATGATCCTCATCAGCTCGATGAGGAACACCACCATGTACCCTTCATCCAGATCAACAATCATTTTGAAGTATGGCAGCATCGTGGTTGTGGTTTGTGGCATACCTGGATAACAGTTAAACGTTTTTATTATTTTTATTACCATTGAAGGTAGACTACAGTTTACGATAAAGGCACAGTTGAGGAAAACAACGTGAGGAAACCTGGTTTTATTATTCCTAAGTTTGAAATTGCCAACCCGCATTGAGCAAGCGTGGTGACTAATGTTCAAACTTTATTCGTTTGAGAAGAGGCCTTTGTTCAGCAATGGGGTCTTATAGGCGAATGAAGATGATGAGAAATTATTATTATGTTTGATGAGAAACTCGACTAGTTTCATACCATGCTAGAGGCTTATATTCATGAGCAGCATGCCGCGACATTCCGCTTCGACACCGAGGCCATCGAAATAACCCAGGATTCGAATTCAATATCTACGCGAACACCGGCGAACAAGTCTAAAGTGAAAGCGGTGTGGCGCGCGCCGCTAAAGATGAAGGAATCGTGCACATAAATCACGGCAGAGGGCACGTTGGGCCCGCACGAAGCACACACGAGCAGCCAGTAGTAGCGCGGCCGTCGCCACGTCGCGGGTTGCGGCATGCTGCTCATGAATATGAGCCTCTAGCATGGTATGACACTAGTCGAGTTCCTCATCAAATAGTAAGCAGTAAGCTGAAAGCATAGTAATTAATTAGTATGTCGCACGAAAGTTTGAATATGAGAAGGATAACGGTGAGGTCGGAACGGAGAGGGAGGGATGTAAGGGAGGACAACACCATCTAAGTACCCCCAGCCAACCTCACCTGCTCGTGGTACATCCTGCCGATTAACGGACGAGGCTCTGGCGACCGGCACATGGCGGTATAACCATGCTATATAGGCGTAGACAAATAATATAGACTAGTGGCGGGGAGCAGCGTCCCTAGTGCGAGAAACTACGCCCTGCGATCACCAACCCGCCTGCCCAGCGTGGTGATTATGGGCATTACCTTTAATGGCGCACCCAATAAAAAAACGGCCCCTAGTTCCCGGTCGCCCCGCTATTCCTGGCCAAGTCGGCGGTCATGGTAACGGCGGGACAAGGGGTGCTAAGAATCCCCGGGCTACGAAAGGCCGACAACACCAACTGACCCTGGCTACGTACAACGGACGCACGCTACGGCTCGATGAACATTTGGCGCAGCTCGAGGTGGAGCTGGGAAATGTGAGGTGGCATATTCTGGGGTTATGTGAAGTCCGAAGACAGGGGGAGGATACCGTAACCTTGGAATCCGGCCATCTCTTGTATTTCAGAGAAGGAGACCAACCATCACAGGGTGGCGTCGGGTTTTTGGTCCACAGGTCTCTCGCAGACAGCGTTGTGGAGGTCTCCAGTGTGTCGGCAAGGGTAGCGTACCTTGTGATCAAACTCACTAAGAGGTATAGCTTAAAGATCGTCCAAGTGTACGCACCTACCTCGACATACTCGGATGATGAGGTAGAGGAAATGTATGAAGACATTTCCAGGGCCTTGCACACCACCCAAAAGGTCCACTTCAACGTTGTCATGGGAGACTTCAATGCCAAAGTGGGAGTACATAATAGCGGCGAATCGGTAGTAGGACCACACGGATTTGGAAGCAGGAACCATAGGGGGCAAATGCTAGTCAACTTCCTAGAGAAGGAGGGGCTGTTCTTGATGAACTCCTTCTTTAAGAAGCAGCCTCAAAGAAAGTGGACGTGGCGAAGCCCCGATGCTATGACGAAAAACGAGATAGACTTTATTATGACGGACAAGAGACGAATATTTAGAGATGTCTCAGTGATCACAAGGTTTAATACCGGAAGTGATCACCGACTGGTACGAGGCACTCTAAATATCAAATACAAACTCGAACGTGTCCGTCTCATGAGGTCTACGCTGCGACCGAACTTGCTCCAAACCGTAGTTGGATCTGAAGCATTCCAATTAAAGCTGGAGAACCGGTTTGCTGCTTTGGAAACCACAAATGACGTTGATATTGACCAGAAACTTGAGCAAATAGTCGGGATCCTCCGGGATGAAGGAACAAAATTGTGCCGGACGCAGAATACCGGACGGAGGGCCAAGCTTTCGGGAGAGTCTCTGCAGCTAATGGAGAGACGACGGGAAAACCAAACAGTCGCTTCGTCAGATCTTAACAAAAAGATTTCAAAACTGGTCAAACGCGACCTCCGATGCGCCAATACACGCGCAATAAAAGAAGCAATCGAGCAAAATCGGGGGTCCAAAGTCTTCATCCAGCAATTGGGTCGAAGTCATCTGACGAAGCTGACCACATCAAGTGGGAAAGTCGTTTCTTCTGGGCCCGAGATTCTCGCGGAGGTTCGGCACTTCTACGGTGAGTTGTACGCGTCAAAAGCACCCCGTCCTCATTCAGATTCGGGGGATCCCAGAGCCACACTTGTCCGCCACTTCACCGAAGAGTTGCCAGAGATCAGCCTAGGTGAGATCGCGGTGGCTTTGGGGCAGCTTAAAAATGGAAAAGCCCCCGGAGAGGATGGAATCACGACGGAGCTCCTTAAGGCAAGTGGAAAACCGGTGCTTGAGCGACTCCGACGTATGTTTGATTCTGTTCTCTTCTCGGGGAGAACTCCAAGGGCGTGGAGCAGGAGTGTTGTTGTTGTGTTCTTTAAGAAAGGAGACAAAACCCTCTTGAAGAACTACCGACCTATTTCCCTTCTGAGCCATGTCTACAAGCTGTTTTCCAGAGTCATCACTAACCGTCTCGCCCGAAGACTCGATGAGTTTCAGCCCCCTGAGCAGGCTGGGTTCCGAGGAGGATATGGCACCATAGACCACATACATACAATGAGGCAGATTATACAGAAGACTGAAGAGTATAATCTGCCCCTATGCCTAGCCTTTGTGGATTACGAGAAAGCCTTTGACTCTATTGAAACCTGGTCTGTTCTGGAGTCCTTGCAACGATGCCAAGTCGATTGGCGATATGTCCAAGTGCTGAGAGATCTATACGATACTGCAACTATGGTCGTCCAAGTACAGAACCAGCAGTCTGAACCTGTCTATCTGCATCGGGGGGTAAGACAAGGCGATGTTATTTCTCCCAAATTATTTACCAATGCTTTGGAGGATATGTTCAAGACGCTGCACTGGAAGGGACGGGGCATAAATATAAACGGCAAGTATCTCTCACACTTGAGATTTGCAGATGACATCGTCATCGTGGCTGAAACCGTGCAAGACCTACAATGTATGCTGAACGGCCTGGCTGATTCTCTCTCGCATTGGACTCCGGATGAACCTAGACAAAACAAAGTGATGTTCAATGAACATGTTCTTCCGGAGCCGATCACCCTGAATGGGTCTACTCTCGAGGTTGTTCAGGAGTATGTCTACCTAGGACATACCCTACAGTTTGGTAGAAACAGCTTCGAGAGGGAGGCTCGTAGAAGGATACAGCTTGGCTGGGCGGCGTATAGGTGGCGCAGCGAGCTATGGAGAGGGCTATGCTCGGAGTATCTCTGAAGGATAGGATCCGTAACGAGGTGATCCGACAGAGAACTAAAGTTACCGATGTAGCCCAAAGGATTAGCAAGCTGAAATGGCAGTGGGCCGGTCACATTTGTCGAAGAACCGATGACCGCTGGAGCAGACGTGTTCTAGAGTGGAGACCGCGTCTAGGCAAACGTAGTGTAGGGCGCCCTCCAGCTAGGTGGAGTGACGATATACGTAAAGTGGCTGGTAGTGGTTGGATGCGTAGAGCTGAAGATCGAGCTCAGTGGCGTGCCATTGGAGAGGCTTATGTCCAGCAGTGGACGAAAACAGGCTGTTGATGAACGGTGAGGTGCCAGGTTGAATGATGAGTCTAGACAAGCCGTAATCATATTTATGAAATAGTAGTAGAAGAAAGTATTGAGATACTACTTACGTTTTATATTCACTTGTACTGGTGTAGTTAAAGAGCTTGTTTCCTCTTCTTCGTCGTTTTCATCCTCTTTGTGTGTTGTCGTTTCTACTTCTCGTACAATGGTTGATTCTTTTAAAAGTTTGTTAGCGTGTAGCCTTTTATGCTTTGTGGTGTATACTTCTCTTACTATGATTGGCTTCTTTATAATTTTCCTTAAATGCATCTTTTTAATTTTATGCGTTGAGATTTCGTCCTTTCTAAACGTTGACTTTGTGAATTTCTTTACCTTTCTATGGGCTCTTGTTTCTTTTAAGTAATAATTGAATATTTTGTACAACATGGATTTTGTTGCATCTACTTCTGTGGGTTTTATCGGAATTCTAGAAACCTCTGTAGTCCGTTCCATTTGAGTGTTTTGTGTTACCATTCTTAGTATTTCATCAATTTTATCTTTATGTTCATCATCAATGTCATCCATTATAAACGATTCATCAGTCTTGTTACTAAATTTAATTGTTGTACCCTCACTCGCTACATTAGCAATTCTTGGCGTAATGATTTCATGTACCTTAGCAGTCACATTTGCCTTTATATAATCGTCTATTGGACTATGTTCTATTATATCTTTATCCTCTCCATGTTGTTTTTTCATTGTATTGTCTACTTTATCAGACATTACTACTCTGTCAGGTTCAATAATTACATCTATGCCTTTTAAGTTCATACTCTCTTTTAGTTCTCGAATCAATTCGTTATTGTTATCAGGTTTGAAATCTGATTCTTTGACCAAAGTCTCTTGGTTTGTCATTATGTTGTCGTCTGGTTTATTACTGTTCTCTTCCCTGGGTATATTAGGATCGTTTTCTATATCTTCCACAGCCTGTTCTTTCTTCTCATTCGTGTTTACCGTAGCAGGATCTGCGTGATAGTCGTCGAGTACTTTGTCTTGAACTGATGAGATGACTGGATCTAAAGTAGTTTGGTCTTGTCTTTCAATTTGTTTCGGTTTAGCTCTGTCTTCCAGAGTTTGTTGGTCTTTCGTCAGAGTTTTATCAAATGGTGTCAACGTTTCTGTTGTGGAGTACAGATATTAATTAGTCATTTGATTATTACTTGAAAGAAAAAATTATTAAGTTTATCGAATTTGTCTATTATTAATAATCATTAAGTTAGAAATCACAGGTAGGGGGAAATATTATTAAATTTATCGACATTGTCTATAACAGCACGGAATTTGGAAGTGATAGTATTGCATGAGACTCTTAATATAACTAACTGGTAACAGTTAAGCCATTCGGCCCGTTCAGGAAATGCATGTGACCTGACATCGTCTTGGAAAAGGACACATTTTTACTATCCAGGTTTTGAACTGGAATCAATTAGATTTTTAGTTTTAAAGGTTGCCCCACTCTAAGATTTTCTTCTGTGTCGTATTTATATGTTCACATTATACATGATAGGTACCCAAACCCAAAATAAAAATTTGCGGATCACACAAAGAGGAGCCACGTTTTTAACTGTTTGATGAGGAACTCGACTAGATTCATACCATACTAGAGGCTCATATTGATGAGCAGAATTCCGCGTAATAGGATGCGGCTAATGTTGCGCTGCTACTGCATACTGGACTTTGCGGTGCGTGCCTAACTAGTTGAGTTCCTCGTCAAACGTTCCTTGAGTAAGCCGAAAACATAATAATTAATTTAGTATGTCTCACGAAAGTTATGATGATGATGACACACTGATGACTCACCAGTGAAATCAAGGTTGTTAGATACAGTTGGGGGAATATAATTTGTAGGAGTCTGATATTTAGCCATCTCTTCCATCACAATATTGACATCTGATGGGTGAGTCTGGTACAGTTTATAAACTACTCCTTCAGGAGTGATACCCTCAGTTTCTAATGGATTATAACCTGGATCAGTTGAAGACCTTGGAATTTGAGCAGGAGAATTGAAAGAGGGATCTTTTGGCGTCGGTCTAGTTGGAGAAGGAGTATATTCTGGCTGTAGTGTTGTTGCTGGAGATTGAAGAGGGGGATCTAAACTAGGATATGGAAGCGGTGGAGGTGTCTCTGCAGTATCAGGTTGAGGTTGAAGGTAAGGGTTCTCTTCTGTTCTAGTAACAGGAGGGAATGGAAACTGTGGAGCTTCTGTAGTAGGTTTCCTCGAGAAGAACGCATCCTTGGAACTTGGAACGGCAACTTGATTAATCTGCTCTATCCTTGGAGTGGTATTCAGCCATATTTCCGTCATTGAGTTTAAAAAGTCCGTGTGTGTAGGTCCACTGTCGTCCACTCTGAAGTTGTTGATCTTCATGTTTCTTATTCATGTAGAATATGTTCTGCCTGTATTTGTCTAGTGTGTGTTGCTTCGTCTGATACCAATTGCTGTCGAGTGCCGCTGTGGAGTTTATGAAGATCATTATGTGTATGTATTAATGTGGTTCTTAATTTTGGATCGAGGTTAGATCAAATACTATTTTCACCATTTATATTATTCGTGTCTTTATGTCCATATAGTTAATACTATTAATACTGATTCCGTGCTGTCTATTATCCGCAGAGAAAATATTTCTATAGCGTTATTTCAGTTGCTGAGTTATTATTACTGCATTTTAACAAAAACTAACCACTTCGGTTAACTGTGAGTGCACTATAAAAGTTTTCTCTAAGCAAGTCGCAATTTATTATAATAATGATAATATTGTAATATAACTCTGACAAACCTGCGTAAAACTGCTGACAAAATGACAAATCGTAGTGCAGAACTAATAATAAAAATAGCAGCAACATTATTTATAACTTATTATTAGTTTCAAGTTGGAAATATTCACTTTTGTAATTGTATTATTGTAGCACATTTTCAATTTTGACTATCTAAATGAATTTGTTCAGAATTTAGTGTTTTTAAAAACATTTGTCAAGAAACCAATGGAACTTTGAAACAACATTGAGTTTAAAATCAGTAACAATTCCAATGTTTACTGTCAATAAAATAGTTGTAATAATTTTATTGGATTACAAATATAGAAATAGTTGCTCGCGCAATGTGTAACAAGTTTTATGATACAATAAAATGTTAGTGTTTTTATATTAAAATGAAAGTGTGCGCTTGTGTTTTGCTGTTAACATATCTGGTACGTATTTTCAATCATATTTTCTTATATGTTCCTAAATATTATTTATTTTATTGCACCAAGAACAGGTCTTACATATATGTAGTTTATTCATCTTGTAAAGCATATTTTAATTGCAGCAAAACATCGTCGAAGATTGTATCGACATATTAAACGAAGAAGTTAAAAACTATCATTATAGAGGATGTAAATTCTCTGAGCTAACCAAACACCATGTCACTAGAAGGATGTTGCAAACTAAATTGAACTTGATCAGTGGTAAACCGGTCTCTGAAACGTACTACTGTAACTCCTCTAGTGTTCCGGGTGTCTTTGGCGACGCTGATTGCTTACCATCAGGTGATCCGTCTGCTCGTTTACTAGCTTATCTCATAATAAGTTCCATTGGTACTAGCCGTTGATAAGTTTAAGTTGCGCACTCTAATGCATGAGTTTTCCGAGCCACTACTTCTAGAAGCCAGTATACTTTACACTGATACAAACATAATATCGCAGAGATGGTAGTTACATAACAACAGCAGTCAACTTAAACGATGATTTAGAGAGAAGAGTAAGTAATCTAGACAATCAAGTGCAAGAAGTTAGGGAAGAAGTGATTGTTGGACACATAAAAGATAGAAATAACAATAAAGACTCAGTTGCAATGACATCAATGTATGATACAACTGCAGACAAGAATAAAGCAAGAACAGCTTTACCGACAACACTATTGAGAGATAAATCAACTGAATTTACAACTAAAGCAACCAATAATAAAGCTGAAGAAGTAACTGCGACAGAATACTTCGTTGTCATAATACATAGAGCAGTACTAAGAAGAAAGATCAAAACTATTTATTACGCCACAACACACAAGTAGACAAGAATACAGGTACACACTAAAGAAGTACTACAGTTACTGAAGTACATTCCACTGTAAACGGTGCTGAAGTAAGTGCAGATACAAGGGTATATGACAATGGACATGAAACTACAGTTTATGATAAAATCAATGCGTCTATGGCAACTAGATAGTATTGTGAAGATTTTTCTTTTGACCCATTTAATTCAAAAGTCATTAACATGCAGGCAGCTGAACCTTGAGTTCATTAATTCATAGTCGGTACCATTACGGTCTATAATGATTGTATTAATTTGTGCAGCATTATGGATTGCCTAAAGTTGAATTATCGTTTGTAACTTTAGTATTGTATAGCTGTGTTGGCTTGTTTCTATTCTCTGTTACTAATTGTGAAAAGTAAGTGAATTTTTGTTGCATATCGTATTCTTTTTTAATTAAATTGTATATCAGTTTGTTTCCCAAGTGTTTAAATAAAGAAACAAATCTAAGAAGTCATAATTCTCCTATCACTCATCCTGTTGCAGATTATACTTACTAAAGTTGGATCCATTTGATCATATACATGATGATATAGTTGTTAAGTAAGTATTTGTGTAGTCTATAAAGCTTCTTACCCCTATTCCTTCATCAGTTTATATTGTTGCTCGTTTCATCTGCCGTTAACTTGTGTTCAAGTGGCTGTTGCAACAACCATGTCTCACCAGTTCTGTTATCAATCTACACTTTGAAATGTGCAGCTAGCTGAGTATAGGTAGGCTGCGCGGTAGGCTGTGCGACATCGCCGGCGCCGCGACGCACGCTGCTCATGAGGAAGACTCTGTGACTCGACACTAGTGGAGCTTGTCTCAGTGTGTTTATGTGAGTAACTGGTACGTCGCAACGGCTAAAGGGATTGGAATGAACTTTGGTGTAGAATATAGTCTGGAATAACATATAGGCTATCTTTCATAACACAGAAACGCGACCGAATCCGCGGGCAGGACTGCTTTATAATGCATGATCTGCTTTATATAGATTCAGGTTTTGGTTCAAAATAAAACAACAAAATTAAATGAATGCATTTTTATATATTATGTAAGTAATTGTAAAGTAAATACATTCTTCTATCTCAAGAAGCCGCCTCTAACGAGAGATATAAACTTCTTAAACTTGACCCCAGACTGTTTCGTAAGATTCAAATATTGCTTTCTAGATGATATTGTACCTGAAACAGATTAAGTCACATTATATCAGATATAAATGTTAATGAATCATACATTAACTACTTTTAAGTGTGGGAGAGCTACGCTTCGGCACGAATGGGGTGATACCACGGTTGAGCAGAAAACCGACGTGAAACAATGCTTACGTTGTGTTTCGTCGATTAAATAAGGTTACCGG